GGCAAGCATTCCTCGGCATTTCTTCCGAATCTGCCCGTGCGTTTTTGGATTGCTTTCAATTAGCCGCTGCCCTCATTGTTCACCTTCATTGGGTGGCACGCAACGATTCTGCTTACAGTTTCACTAATTGGAACACAAGACGCATGGCGATGCAGTTTAATGAATTATATCTGCGCTACGCGCATGCATATATTCCGCCACAATCACCGATCTCTCAATTTCTGCTCTCGGCGACGTATATTATACACGATGCTGCCTTGCCGAGCGGCGCAGAGGATAACTCGCAAAGATCAAGGAACCCCCCATAAATAATTTAGCCGCGATCTCCCGAGAATAATCCCGAGCTCTCCACTCGGCCGGGTCAGCTTGGATTTCTGAGAATCCTCGCTCACTTGCGACTGTGGGTATCCTTAGTTTCTTTTATTAGTTACCAAGCTCCTAGAACAGTCATTGTACAATAAAAACGTCTACAGAGCTAAGCGAGCATCTCTTTTCCCTTTCCCCCAAAAAAAAGGGCAATTTTTATACTCTTTTTTTCAAAAGCTGCCGTTTGCTTTTATCTGCGTACAAACCCCGCAACCAGTCTATGCTCGCTAACAACGAGACTGCCCCGCCGCCACCGGCCCCATCGTCGCCTGCGCGTTCGTACCGTGAGGCGCTGCTGAGCCCGCCCCCTGGGGCCACCCAGGAGTCAGTGGATGATGTGGGGTTGACTTTGCCCCCTGTAGGCACCTCTGTTACTGCCCCTGCAGCAGCTACTGCTGGACACGCGACCGCTGATAGTGCTGCGGCACCCACCGCCCCCGCTTCGAGGAAGAGGACAGCGGCGAGTGCCGCTAACGCACCAACCGCGATGCCGCCTGCTAAGCGCGCCGGACCGAACAGGTCGGCGAACGCCCTGGCCATCGCCGATGCCGAGGAGTACCCGGAACTGCGTGAGACCCCAATTACGCTAAAGATTCCCGGGTTTCGCCCCTCCATGTTCAAGGAGCTCACGCAAGAGCTGCTGGCCACGCTTGGGCTTGGCCGCAACCTTAGCCCGTCTGCCCCTTCGAATCCTCTCTCCCGCTTCCGCCTCCATGGCGAAAATGTGACCTTTGTGTTAAAAAACAGGGAGGCCACCGCAAGACTTCTTAACACCTCCCTTGTTTTCCGTGGGCGCGCCTTCCCTTGGACCACGGAAAAAGGGACACTATTGACGATCGGGATCGTCGACGCGCCTTTCAAAGCTACCCCCCGCCGACTGAAGGCAGCGTTTGCCCAATTCGGGACCCTCTCCCAGCTTACGGAGATAACCCGCCACGGGTATCGCACTGGGGACTGGAAGGCTTTCCTCGAGCTCCGCGACGGGCACGACTTGCCGGCGCACATTGCGCTGAAAAGCTGCGAGGGGCAGCTTGCCCAAGTTGTGCCTGCCAGCGAGCTCATCCGCTGCCATGCGTGTGG